CAAATCTGTCCACGGATCAATCAGCAGTTCGTTTTATTTGGTTACAGTGCCAAACTGTATAAGAAACGTCACCTACGATATCTGTAGACGTACTTTCTAAACATCTGGAGAGAGAGGGGGGATCTTTCGAGAGCAAAAATAAACTACAACAAATAGTGGACAATTGCAGGCCCCATTTATTGGGTATAGTCCCAAGCACTAGCAAGCGTTATTCAATCCTAACATTTAAAGTATCGGAATCAATGATCACGACTAAACAAATATGACAACACTGGGAAAAAGGTAGGATCACTATTTCACGGCTGCTACACAACATTTAACATCTAAAATAATTTGTACAAGCTCATAATCTTGAATTGAAATCGATACTTGATTTGTAAACTTGGCAGTTTGACTTAATGCCGGTATAAGTTTTGAGTCGGTCAGCGTTTAATTACCTCTTCAAACTAGGATACTACCTCCTTCTTTTTGTTTTGGTTTTACACTTCGTTACATTAATGTTATATGGCGTCAATGTAGTCCTAAATACTTGACCCGTACCGCTTTGGGTTGGATAGAGACTTCTGATTCTTTCATATGATGGCACTATCCAGCTAGCTTACGGAAATTTGTGGTTAGAATCAGGCCCCATGTTTACTAAGAAAGGATCAAGATCAATTAATCCTGATTTTATTTTCATTATTTAATCATGATACTTAAATGAATCGTGTTTTGCTTGCATTAAATGGTAAATATTCAAAATTTTTAAAAATGCTTATTTGCAAAAAAAAAAACGAACTATTTTGGGATAAAATCAACAAGTAACAAAACAAATACAAAACTATTCAGATCAAAATAAGGTCAGAATCAATAATTGGATCCACTGTTATATGCCCGTATGTTGCAAAAATAACAACAAATGTATTCTAACATTTCATAAAATTGCTATTGCAAGTCCTGTTTTATCAAATCAATATTAGATATTTAATCTATTGAGGATAATCAATGAAAATATTAAAGTTTTTAAATTTGATCCTGATATAGACCTTGATCCTTAAATCTTTGGGAACACGAGGCCTGGTGTTATCATATTTTCTGACGAAGGTCAAGTTTTCTTTTGAATAGTTGATTAAGTAATTGCAAAAGCATAATTAAATGTAATTCAAAGGGCATGAAAAAACACACTAAAATACATAAGTTTGTTCAAACACTTTCTTGTCCAAAATACTTTAAAATTTGCATAAAATCTGTAATTGAAGATGCCCTTTAGAAAAATGCAAAAATAATCTTTACATAACGTGAAAATTCCTTATTTTGCCTCAAACATATAACTATAAAAACAGTATTTTTCTCGAGTGTTTTACAATATGATATTTTACCAGATACAGATAAAGTGCAAATCAGCTATAAACATATTTTATACAGGTTATCAGCAGATTACTGCTGCTAGTGTTTGGCAGACGTCCACTGCATATTCGTCTGGTTTGACCACTAGATTTTCAGCTTATTACATCAAGTCACAAGAACCCTTCATTATAAGCTCACATAAGTTTCTGGCGATCTTCTTGGATGATGAAATTTGGGCATGAGGCAGAAGTGTTTCATATCATTGTGTACTTCTGCAGTAGTCAACAGTTAAGTTAGTTATCAACTGCATAATTACTTGTTTGTGTATATTATATAACATACATTATATTGTATAGTTTGTTAGAAGTTCAATCATAATACAATCCTGACTATTACAATACTATTATATTGTGTATAAAAATACGAATAAAGATTGAAAATAAATCCATCTGAATTAACGTATTTGTAAATTAGTATTTGTTATAATTATAATTTAATTGCCTATTTACATTACCTACAGAAAGATGTTGAGTTTGTATGCATAAACTTGATTTATCTGGATCTTATCTGCGGCTCAATTCTCAACAGTGACTGCTTAATGCCCAAGAGTAAAGAAAAAGATTTTTCAAGAAAACATGATTTAATGGTTTTAGCCCCATTAATCAGGTCCAAGAGGGGGGGGGGGAGGGGCAGGGGCCATGAATTTCACAATTTTCGTTTCCCTTTATCAATAGATGTACATAAACGGATAGCAATAGTAAACTCAGCTTGCATATCGAGTTAACCGGCAGGCCATGTGTTATCATTATCACTCACTATTACTCACCGTTTTTGTTTTTTTCTCTTTCGGTTTGAGTTATTTATATACTTGTTTTATATTCCATGTTATTTCGGCGGTTTTAATCCCCCTTTTATTTTACATTATTTTTCTAATTTGGCCTAGACCAATTTTATATCCATAATAACCGGTGGCTTTACTTTAAGATTTTTGGCTAATTGTTCTCCCAAAAAATTTTATCTTGAAGGTTTTTAAATTGATAACATCTGCTTGTTACAATTATGTTTGCTTGGGTTAGAGTCGTCATACATTTGACGACAAACATGTACACTTTTTGGTGACTCACAAACTAAACATGACACTGAAATGTTTTGAATGTCACCAGTGTATAAATCATTTCAGTTTAATTTTTTAAGGAGAGTATATTGTTTTCAAAGTATAATTTTCCTTTTTTTCAACACATATTTTTAAATGTAATGAATCTCATCCTTCTTCTTTATTAAAAAGCGATTTTTGTCCGGAAATTTCAGTTGCTTTGCATTAAAAATCGCCGCAAACGACAATTTTTCTTACTGCCATGTTTAATCATGGAAAAGCTCGATATTGGTAATTCCGATACTTTTTCATCATTTTCTTTTAACCCACTACTCATATAGACTTCTTTTCAAGCCTTATCACCCGCCCCTTTTAGACGTCTTTTTACGCATTTTCAACACCCCCATTTGAGGCCTTAAAAAGGGGACAATGCCCTATTTAGACACCAAACACTTGTTTTCGTTTAAGAAAAAGTGATCATTTTTTGGCGCCATCTTTAATCAGATAGATACATCATGGGGGTGCCGGAGGGGAAATGTGCCACATTCTGTTTGGAAGTTTGAAAGGGGTCGGCAGAATCCGGAAATTTAAGATTGAGTACGTGGTTACAAAGACAATGCGTAGCATGAGACTTCAATGAAACAACCATTTTTTGTAAAATGATCATGAAATAATAAGTTAATGAGATAAATTATAAACTTGATGTTAAACAATTATTTATTATGAAGCAATGCTTATTATTCTGTATACTTGAATTACATTTTAAAATTCATTAATTGGTTACTAACGGTAAATCAAAATTACTACAAATAATAGAATATGTCCTTTCTTCACTGTCAATATAGTTTGTCCCTTTTTGTGTTGATTATATATTCAGTGTTCTTATAAGAGTCAGAGATATAAGACATTCAAAGCTTTGAAATTTAAAATATTCACGTCTTTGCAATATCTATGATTATCATTTTGTTTACTAGTGTAGCTCAGTTCAAAGACCGAATCCGTAATTGTAAATGGTTTGTTGTACCATGGTTTGTATCTGAAAGCCTTGGATAAATGGTAAATACTTTTTTCAAAGTTAACTTACTTTTCTGCAGTTCAGGACTCTGATTTTTGTGAAACACTTGTTCATCTTGATTTACTACTGTCTTGGCATTTGCCAGCAAACTGTCTCTTGTTCAAAATACAATGTCAATTGTTCATACTTAAATATACATATGAAAGGGACTCCACTGAGGTTTAAAAGCCCAAAAACATAACATTCGAATTTCTTACATAAATGAGCTTGGGCACTATATTTAAAGACAGTTAAGAAATATTCTTTGAAATATATTGAAATTATGCCTTTCTTAGCCCGATTTAAGTGAAAGTGTTTAAACGCTTTTCATTTTGAGTCATTCTTTTTACAATTTAAATAATTATTCTGGAAAAACGTGCGTGAATAATCTTAAATTTTGCACAAAGATTAGAGGTCCAAACCTCAATCAAATTGTACATTTATCGATAAAAAATAATTTTTGTCCCATCATGTCAAAAAACCTCAATGCCCTTAAGCGTTCGATATTCCGAGCATCATTTGCGTCAGGATTTGAATTCACTTCCGACTATCCGGACTTTTTTATGAGATCTGCATTAATTTAAAAATATTTGTAAAATGACAATAATTATAATGTTATTCATGGTTTTGAGTAAATCTAGTAACTAGACATTAAATGTTAAGCTACTTTGTAATTGTTTCCTAAGAAAGCTATTTTTCTTATGAATGTGTATGTAAACAAAACATTTCGTTTATTGGTATAGTCTGTGCATATGTGATATTTATGTTGGCACAGCTTAGTACGATCCGTTGTTCAATATTCCGAGGAAAGTCTGATAGGCGTTCAGTTAAAGCGTATACCTCCATGCATGCAAACGGGTTGTGCATTTGCTTCAATTTATGATATTTTAATAAACATATTAATCTCGGGATATCTGGAGCGTAATATATGTCTGGATTTAGATTCACTTCCGAATGTCAAGAGTTAAATCAGCCATATCGGTAGGCATTAGTTATAAATTTCAGTTTCAGTTCTCTTAATACAGCCATGGGAAAAAACTGCCAAACCTTATTTCCTTTAGCGAAACGTTTTCAATGTAAAATAGAGTTGTTTTTATTGTTTTCTCAGCTAATAACGTGGTTTCTTTGCGAACGTCCGAGTCAAGGATAATCCAATACTTGCTAATGTACATAAATTAGATGACTCAAAACAAAATCCCAGATACTCAACATTGATAGTTACAAACAAGAAGCCATTGTGCGTTTTGTCATGTTACGTTGCTGTTTGTTTGTTTTTTGTTTGTTTTTTTTTTTGCAAGAAGATAAAGAAGTCTATTTCATTTCCAACCTATCTTTAGAACTAGATTAATACAGTAAATAAAAGGAGTTGCTTATGTTATGTGGCAACAAAAAAAATGCACAAGTAGAAAAATAACGCACAACATATTTGATATTTTGTGAGGTCGTAATGCAGAAAATTATCAAGCCTAAACGTAAACAATCAATCATTGCATACAAAATAAAGGAAAGAAACAGTTTTTCATCGAATTTAGATAAATTTATTTCTTTTCTTTTTTTTTGATAGTACAACATATCAGATTATATATTGAAGGATAATAAATGGACAAAAACGGAATTCTATACCACACAAATATTGATATCTTTGAAAATATTATAAAGAAGAGTAATTAGTGACAGTTAATTGTCCGGATGAAGTAGAAACCCGGTAAAGGAAGACCAATACGCCATATAAGTACTCGGTTGACCATTACAACTAGATAGATAAACTTTATCACCCCTGTCTAGATGAATAACCATAGACTCAGAAACAGCTGCACTTCCTTTGTCAGTGTCGTCATCTGTTGGGTCCACTTCGATATGCGTTAGCGATCTACCATTTTTAGAAAGCTCGCAGAAAACCCGGTCTACTCTTGAATTTTCTCTCTTTTTAACAAGTGTTACGGAAAAGTGATAGATTCCAGGAATTGAGCAAGTGAACGTACCAGTTGATTGATCAAAGTCGTTCCCATGTTGGTATATTATTCTGGAGAATGTAAGCTTATCGGTATAGTTGTAAGGGTTTCCAACGGAAAAAGCTGATATGTGATCTGAAACAATATGTTAATACAATTGTTATACACGGTGACCGTAAAAAGTGTCTGTTGTACTTACGCGCTTTCACTTCACGCGTTTACATTTTGTACATACCAAAGAAATCAGGGCGAGTGCATAAATTTTGCGAATTTCCGTTTGGTAAGCGTTCAAATACTTAAAGTAGATGTTCCTCGTCGGACAAGACATGCATACATCTTCTAGTCCTTAAAAATGTACAAGCGTGTGATACAATTTTAACTTTTATAAGACATTTTATCTAAAATAAAAAGACCGCCTAATGTAAGGATAGTTGCTTTAAGCAGTAAGATCACGTTAAAATGTATAACATAATATATATGTTACCTGGACAAATTTTGTTTCCACATTGCTCTGTTTGCAACGGTATTCCGTTGCAATATTGTCCAAGTACAGATGGTTTTGGGTTGGTACATGACCGTGACTTTGACCTTATACCACCTCCACATGTAACCGTACAAGTAGACCAGTTATCCCAGCTTGTCCATCCTCCATCTTTAACAAATCAAAAAATTGTTTATAGATCACTGATCTGATTTAAAAAACATATTGAATTATTTATTCCATTTTACTTAACTACAACATTATCTTGCCCAGCGATTGATAAACTTTAAACAGAATGAACAAACAAATTAAGAAACAAGAACACCCGATTTAATGCGGCTAACTGCCGTGCTCCGGGGTGAAAATTACTACCACCACCACCACAAAAACCCGAGTTTGATTAGTTGACCACTTGACCATTGAGATATGCTGTAAAATATAAAAGGTCTTGTGGCTTAAAGTGTCCATTTTTCATTCGTTTAAATGCTTGCTTATGCTTACAAATAACATTATGTATGCAATTATTTTGAATATATTATTAAATGACATAAAGCTGTAACTAATAAATTTTATTATAAAAGTTACGAACGAGTTTAATAAAATTGAATTATGCAAGCCTCTGGCGAGCATAATATTATTTTATTGAACTAATTCATTAAATACATTAACGAACTGACACGAATTTAATATGCTATCTATCACATAAAAAGACTGTTTAAAATGAAAAAGAGTCATTTTTCATTTACGCGCCTGTATTATAACGCTAACATTTAGCGCGTCTTTACACTTTGTTTGTATAAGGCAAATCAAAATATATGCACAACCGTGCAATACCATTTTCACAGAGTAAAGAAAACGGCATGGATATGTGATAAAAAGCATTTCTATCTATGCTCATAAGTTTTCCTTTTGGACAAAATCAGCTTATAATTCCAGTTTTTTTTTCTTCTCAGTGAGTCTGATTCAATAAAACAGATTAGAAACAGGTTTACAAGTTGAATACTGTATCTTAGAAGGTTCATTTAAGTTCACATACTTGCACACGGCTGAGTAATACATATTCTGTCATCACGAGAATCCCCGAAACAATGGTCTCCAAACCGTGAAGGGTAAGGGTTTGAGCATGAACGATCACGCCTCTGTATCCCAATATCGCATGTTGAAGAACAGGCTCCCCAGACGGACCAAGTTGACCAACCTCCATTGACTGAAGTAATATGTATTCTTTGAATTTGATAATGTATAAGTAATTATTGCTAATTACATTGAACAATAAGAGGTATGATAAAAAAAAGTTCTCGACTCGATTTATTCTAGCCACAACATTCAGACACGATACGTCGATACCGATATCTTATTGAAGATTACTGACCGAGTGAGTTACACGCGGTTTTACACAGATTAAGTTACATAAAAACACTTTGATCAGTAGACCAAATGGAGAACGTTGAAATCAGAGTTGTCACTAAGTACCTTGTACATGTATGAAAGGTATGTCCCCTCAAGTAAATCCATTAAGATTTCTTGGATACACTTGGAAAGGAGCCCCCTTCCTATAGTACTGGGTAAAATGGGCTGGTGAATTTAAGAGGGGCGGGGAGTACTTTGGAGATAATGAGCGGCCTGGGCGACTAACGATGAAATTGCCGAAGGTGTGCACGTTATGGTCATGTGCGACAGAAGGCGAGATCATCGAAACATTGCTAGGTAGCGGATATAAGCTTTGGTTCAGTTCAGGCAATTCTGACTTATGCCTATAGCATGTCAAAGGTTTCCGCTAGATGAGCCCTAGACAGTTGACTGACGACCAGAAACTGAACAGGCTTGACAATTCAAGATATCTTTTGTCTCGCTACGAGGATGAACCTGATTTTATCTACTGGATCGTAACTCAGGATGAAATATTGGTTCATCACTTCGATCCAGAATCAAGAAAACAGAGCATGCAGTGGCAGCACCCTGGCCCACCGCCTCCGAAGAAATTTTAGAGGCTGCCATCAGCAGGAAATATGATACTTTCAATTCTTTGAGACAGGGGATAATCATGATTGACTATCTTGAGCAAGGACGTACCATAAACGGTACATACTATGTAGAAGATTTGAGACGTTTGCGTCAAGAAATCGCGCGTAAAAAAGGGGGCAAACTGACTGTTCCTGAAAGATAATGTGCCTGCTCATACATTCAAAATTGCAATAACTGAGGCTTGGAAATTCTTCCCCATCCTTCATATTCTCCGGACATGGCCCCCTCTGACTTTTACCTGTTTCCTAAACTGAAAACTAAGTTGTGTGGTAGACGTTTTGGAAGCAATGAAGGTGTCATGTAGTGGAGAATTGAGACTTGATTTAACTAAGAGTTACCTCGAGTACAATATTGTTCCGTCAGGGAACATTTGGAAAAGAGTACAAGTTGCATTTTGATACGGATTGTTTATACTCATGAAATAAAAAAGAGATAAATTGAAAGACTGGATCTAATCATGAATTAATGAATTATATTTTGAAAATTTCGGGTTGAAAATGCTGAAAGGTCGATGTTTTCGTTTTAAAAGTTATGGAATAAAAAGTAACTGTTATGTAACATGAATAAAAAGCAACCTAATGTTTTTATTGTACTGTTCTAAAAAGAATTTATAACAAAACTTAGTGTTATTTCTGTTATACCTGGACATACGTCCTTTAAGCATGGTTTATTTTGTGAATGAGGACCGCTACAATATGCCCCTCCATGCGCTGGTGCAGGATCTGTGCAGGTCCTAGCTCGAACTTGCGTTCCATTACCACATGTGACATCACACAAAGACCAATTTGACCAGTTTGCCCAATTACCGTCAACTTTAATAGTATAAAATAAAAATAAAGTAATTACATGGAGGATGTTTGTTTGTTTTTTTGTGTAAGATGAAATTTTATTTCATAGAGTAGGTTTTAAAAACAGTATTCTCACGAATAGCATAACCACGTGTGAGAATACTGTTTTTGAAGTTGACAAGATGAAACAAAATAACATCTTACACAACAAACAAACACACTTTTTTATTTGATGCTTTAAACAAGCTTAATGAAATTTCCTGAATATTTACTTAAATATAAAATCTCAAAATAAAAAAACAAGAGATCGCTGGTATTTATAATTTAAACAAACAACTCTAGAAGAAGAAAAAGTTACAACATGCCGGGCATTTTTTTCTGCAAAAAAGTTGATATTGAACTATCATGTTGTAATTTACGCAACTGCTATTTTCAAAAGTGGTGTATTTCACGCGAGGAAAACGATCAAATGTGTTATTCGTGGGGATCTCATTTGGATTTGATAAACCTACATCTATTTATTAGAAAGAAAACTTATTTGAGGGTTGTTACAGACAAAAATAAATGCTGACAGATGTGTAAACATTCAAAATTTCAACAACTAGGAAAACATGGAATGTCTTAAACGGCTGTCTTACGAACGCTTTGTTGTTTTCTTATTGCTCGGGCTGATTTTTACTCATTTCATTACAGTTACAGTTATTGCTCGTAGGATACTTAAAAACCAAAATGTAATCAAGAGCAGTTTTGCATGTCGAAGGAAGTGTAAGCTCCAGACTGTAAATAAAACTAAAAATTATGGACAGTTTTTTACATTATGACAACGAATGCGAGAGTCGTTAAGTCAAATATAAACTAAACTTGAGACAAGTGGTGAAGGTTTATTCTGGCGTTTTACGTGCGTTTTATACGCCGATTGTTTATTACACGAATATAATGAAATGGAGTTATTATATATTGTTGAGTTTGTTGGACGAGGTACCAAATTACATTCAATCACGCGCTAGCCGAGTCCAAATATATAATATAGCAATTATTACAATTGAACTTCACAATGTATTGTAAACTCTTAATTTCACACAAAAATTTCATCGAGTACAATATGAATTCGATAGGGATTTTTGGACTCTGTAAAAGAAAACGAGGCTAAACTTAATACACTTATTATTTGGTATGAATTTGATTTTGTGGAAGTTACATAAGGTACAATAAAGGGTTTATATCGATTATTTGCGTTTGTAAAATGAAACTGAGGCTGAATTTATAAGACTGGATCAGGAAAAAATATATCGGTAGAAACGCTGAAAAACGCTGAAAATGTATTGGTTACATTTTATTATCAGTAAAAAAGAGAATAAAATATAGATATATTTCACGAAAAACAAACGACGGCATGTGATAATTATTTCTTATACATTCGTTAATAAATACATATGCTAAAATGTATAACCGTGTTGTCGTATATTTAGTCATTCAATACGTCTAAATATGCCATTCATTATTGTGTAATTTTGTACTATTGAACAATGCCTGTTTACAAAATAATAAAAATAATTTACTTAATTACACGTAAAAACTGACTATTTGTTTCCATACGATCGCGCTATTTTTGTAGTGGAATCCACATACTGCCAATATATGCAATAACCAAATCAAAACCATAAACAATTTAGGATATATTACAAATAAAATATATTTTAGATAATCAGCTCAACTCACCAACGTTACAAAGGCCACAAAATCTTGGACATACAAGCTTTGCATGTTGAATATCTTTACATATCTGGAAAAGGGAATGCATCTTTGCACAATCTGCGGTTTCGTCATCTACACATGCAGACGCTTAAAGAAAGTTAAACATATGACAATGATTGAAACAAGTTAAACATTGACTCTTTTCACATTTAGACGTGTTTCGCCTGTACAGATCATCAGTGTTACAAAAATAATAAACAACAATTGTAAATCAAATTTTCTGCAAGGGCCATGTTTTTGTTGGATTTTACATCGCACTAACACAGGTAATATGGCGACATTCTTGTTTTTCTGCAGATGCTCCTCTGTGTATGAGGAACGAACGTGTAAATGAGTAGCTATTCAAGCCGGCGGGTTAGTTTTCGCATAATCTTTATTTATTAATAATTGCATGACGATCACTGTTTTATATTTTGAATATCTGTATATCCGGTTCCAAAAACTGTCTACCATTTTTGCTTATATAACATTACATGTAATTTTTGACAGAGCTGTGTTGCGATTCTTACATACACAAAGAAACACGCTTCCGCCAAGATGCAAAGAGTTGTGGTTGGAAAATAATTAAATTTCTTGAAATGATATTCCCCAAGCATATTGAAACGTTTAAGTATGATAAAGCTATATATGAGTGCAGTTGAATTTGGTAATGCCAATCATGACATAAAGCTTTTTTATTTTGTCAAGCAAAAATGCTCTTTTGTACAAAATGATATTGAAATATGTCACAAAATTTAATTTGTCGATGAATCGAGATTATTTTAAATATCTAAATTTAATTAGAGCTGCAACTTGTGAGATATGTTTATCTAAAATAAAGATTTTCTGAAAGTTGTCATTGAATAGAACAATGTTTTCTTCCAGACCCATACCTCAACAAATCAAATGAATTATTTCCTTATTTAGATACACATTCATTCTCTTAAATATTGCACACTTGTAATAAATATGTTCCTAAAACAAACTATTTAAAAATTACAAGAGACTATGAAATAACAATATCATGTCGGAATTTAATGGATTTTAAGTACGTCTTTGCTTAAATTTTTTGAACATTTGTTTTCAGTATATGACAATCTAACTGTACCTGATGTTAAATACGGTTTTAAATGGAAATATTCAAAGAAAATCATTCGAGTTCAAAACATCTTTGTGTAGTTTCTCTGACATTTAAAAAACCACACAGATTTCGCATATAAACATTGATACTTTTAAACATTGGACCTATTGGTCTTGACGGAAGCAAGCACGGACGAACAACTACAATTCAATAATCACCTTCTGAGTTGACCGGAAAATGATTATTAATAGAACAACTAGTTACTTACGTTGTAGATGGGAACAAAGAGCACTATTGCAATGATCTGAGGAGCAGCATTCGTCACAATGATTGCTTTGCCTTTTACCAACGGCTATACCAGCAGTATTTGTGTTTCAACAAAGCTGAAGAAACAGTTATATTAGATAAAGACAAATCCTTAGTTAAGTATGAGGGCAGATGATATGACCCGGTTATATGTTTTAAATATGCAAAGCAAAACGCACTTGTTTCATCATAATGCATATTTCGTTTTTACTGTGTAATTTGCTTATTTCAAAAAGTAAACCGTACACTTCTTATGAGTCAAGTATGTAACAGTCAAATTAGTTATGAAAACAATACAAATGTAGGAAAGGGGTACAACTTAGAAACAAGAATATTCTACTCAATAATTTAATGACGCTTTCTACAAAGTTTGAATAAATTAAAGGTAACGTTCACTGCGAAATAGCTAAATTTTCGAGAGGGACAAACCGATTAACAACATTTAAATATTTATGCTATGCATTCCTATTGAACAGCAGATTGCATTTTGTTATGTATTTTTTTAAACTACATGATTTCTTTAGATATTGTTCCTTGCGTTCTTTTCAAGAAAATCTATAAAAGAAGAAATGTGATCATTAGGTTAACTATATAGCATAGGGTTTTAGTTCCTGCATACTACTGCAAATCACTTAAATGTATTCAAACATTGTGAATACTTTCAACAAATGAATTTTCACTAACATTCTGAACACTTTGAACACAAATCCGTTAAATGTTGTATTCTGAAGAATAACCAATGCATTATAAAAATACTCAACGAACATAACATGACTGGAATATGCTTTAAATCTGCACAACATTTTTGTTTGGAAGAGTGAAGTTTCGATGAAATCCAGTCAGTGACTGCCGAGAAATCGTCTTGACAAATTTACATCTTAAATGTGATTAATGTTGCATGACTGTGTGAGAAAAGGAATATACTGCTTATGGTAGCTTTTATAAAGTATTGATGATTAAAATTGAAAACATGGTATTTGAAATGCAGAAATGCAATCCGACCTTCATTTAATTTTTATTTAGTGTTTATTTTTGGTTTGTCTTTAAACTAATTATACTTTATCAATGTAAAGGTTAGTGGGCACAAGTAGTTAGTGGGCACAATTTTAAATCTGATAAAAGGGAAAAGACAAGAATATCAGAAAACCATATGCTCAAAGAACGAAGTTTCCGTCACAGATAAAGACAGGATAACTGTCATGCACTTTTGTGGTTTTGGAGTACCTGACCGAACATTAATATCAAGCTCGTCTGCATTAACCAGTCGTACAGGATTACATTAACATGGTGTAAGGTTGTAAACTATTGCAAAAAAAAACCCATCTCAAATACCTGATTTTGTATACATCCCATACTAAATCTTGCAGTTCCTTTCGCTGTCGGTTGAGCAGATACCGTCGAACAAGACTATAAAAATAAACATTATTTCAATATTTTGTTTTTTAAAGACAGAACTTAAACACCAAATTAAAATAACCTCAATGTTTTTATTTAATTCAATATAAAATTGTTGCTCATATTAAATCCAAACAACAAAACACCATTACTGTAAAGTACTCCAACCTCTCCAGAGCGCAAACAAATGTATTTATGAACACATCCAGGACAATCCACCGATAGCTTGCAGTAAACATTCTAGGCATCTAAATTGGTATGTAAAACACAAGGTTATCTATTTCTTCTTATGCAATTATTGTATGTAGCAAAGTTATGAATAAATCAGCAAAGAAATGTTAACTATGCGTCACTCAATCGCTTTTCAATATATGTTATCTAACATCTCTTAATTAATATTAGTTGTGAAAGAAAACAAATGAATATAAACATAGAGAGACTGTTACAAATTTACTTCATGTCTCAGCAATTCGATAATCTCTATTGCGTATTACCAACCTTTCTTCCATATATTGAATTCTTAGCTGAATTACTACTCCTTTTTAACCACACTTCTTAATAAGCATGTTCATGGAATACTACGTAAACGATTGATTACCCCTTTCGGCTACAAGGAGTCCAGTGCATTGCTTATTATTAAAATAACTATAAAGAACTGATCCAAAAATTCAATTTCGAAATTCCATTATATATTCCACGTTGTGAGGAGAGAGTAAACGGGGAATCAAACGGTATTTATTGTGTTATATTTATTACATTACTAATATATATATATATATATATTATTATTATTATATTTATATTATTATTAAATATGGAATAAGTAGTACTAAAAATAATTTTAATCAATATCCGTACCATTTTAAGATATTTACATTCTAAAATTAAAGTAACATACAACTATTAAGCCCGCATTGACGATCGTGTTGTGAAAATCGAAAAGGGGAACCCACGAGAACAATAAACAATAATGCAATGATAAATGTTTTCACTTACCACATGCTGGCTGAAGTGAAATTAAGACACCAAGAAGACAGGCAAGGGCTGGAAATGAAAAGGAAATCTCAAGCTGGGTAAGAAGAAATGACAGTTGGAATTATTTGGGTTTTTATGTTATATTGTTTCATTTGTTTAAGAAATATAACCTATTAACAAAACAAATCTAGTTTCAATATAAATTTTCAATAAATAATTGACTTTTATGTAACAGAGAATATCATTTACACTCACCCTTTCCTGTCATTTTTGCAGTACAATTTGCGTGCCTTTAAAAGTTATTGCAAGCCTTTGGTAAATTAAAGTCCTTAAAAACATTATTCTTAGTCGTCATTTCCGACTAAACCTTTATTCCGTATGAGAAGATTTGTACTTGCCGTCTCAATAACTGTTTTATGACCATGAAAAAGTTAAATGAACGTCCATATAATTTTCAAAAACTTTTCAAAAATCACAGACGATCATTTAAAGCGTAAATTAATTTTTTCTTACGAAATTATGGGAAGAACAGCAAAATAATTTAATCCCAAATAAGCATTTGCATTTATTAACAGACACTTCTGAAGACCACAACATCTGTTATCTTAAAATCCATGAAAAAGAACTAACCTGCTTCACAGTGCTTCGGTAATAATATTCAATAGCTCCTGAGCCAGTTGTCAACATGTAGCGGTTTTCAACGTTTCTTCCCACAATTGTCTTATTCCAAATTGAGAAAATATTTTGATTATTTATCGAAAATAAAAACGAAACATGTAAACTTATCTATTGTAAACATGGACCGTTAACCTTAAAATTTAGTTTAAACAGGGACGTTTACAAGCTTTGAAATCCAGCAAAAGTTCAAAAGTCACAGTTTACTGTTAAAGTTGCTACGCTCTACGAAATTTTATATTCCCAACAATAAATGCATATGATTAATGGAGAAATTAAATTTAGTATGTCGATTTCATGTAGTCGTCCGTTACAAGCGATATGTCATGTACATGTATATAGAAATAATTTTGTTTTTCATATGTATGTACTGATTATTTCCATTTATCAATTATAATCAATTTTGAAAAAAAATCTTTGTTTTGATTTAAATTCTACTAACTTTGATAATATTTGATGAACTCAAAATTTCAAACACATGCAATTTTTTTACATACATACATACTCGTACTCGTGACTATATAAGATGATGAAGTAAACAATGCAACATCTGTAAAATAATGATTTCTTTTTATATTTAACCATAGTACTTTCATATTACCACTACTCATTCAGTTTAATACATTTCATCATGGAAGCTCTTTTAAAGAAGTTTGTATTAATAAACTGTTACTTTTTTCAAATTTCTAAGAAACATGGACATATCAATAACAAATGGTACTTTTCCTTAATTTCCACATTGTAACAACACACAGTCTTTTGCATTACGTGGTAATCTGTTTCAACCAAACTTTCCAGTTTGGGTTCTGAGAGCATTGAAATTTTGTAATTCTTGTAATAAAAATATGTCTTTCCCCATGCGTCGATTTGCACAATTTATAAAAAAATATATGTTTAATTATTTTCAATCCCCTGTTTTCCATTTTTGTCGATTATAATCGTAATAACTTTAGAGAGTTTTTACAATCTAAATGTTTGTATCAAGGTTAAAAAAGTTTGAACAATATTCCTCTCAGCACCTTACTATCCATATACAGTAACATAAAATGTAGTATGCCTAATATTTAAAGGCACATTATGCCCCAGAAATGAATATATATTTTCTTCTTAAGAAAGCTGAAACGTAATTTTATACCGTTTCAATACCGGTTTGGAACATGTTAGATGTTTGTTACGTGCAGACGTAGTGGTAAATGTAAAATGATATGCCACAAAGACAAAGGTAGCAAAATGTAATATAAGTAGTATTTGGATCTCCATACAAAATACTTTATCACTGTCAATGTATAAAGTGCCAAAAAGAAGAACAAAGAGGTTTAGGAATCTGGCCAAAGAATAACTTGTTGGAAACTTTAAAAGAACACCTAAAAATAAAGAGATTTTAAGAAATAAAATTGAAAGCATTTTTGGTCAATTTCTAGGCCTTTAAAGTTATTTTACAACATTTTAAATAGATACCTTCAATGTCTTTATACTAATTTAAGCCTAAAACCTCTGACAGGTATAATAAGAGTTGTTGTACTCTCTCTTGCTGAATAAATTGATGGCTGAGTCACACTTTGAACCAAAAATGTACAGACATATTTTCCGGAAGTGGTCACATAATCCTGTGCCACTTTATCTGTGAATTTTAAGTAGGGTTTGTCGTCCGTGATATCTCAGAAAAAAAAAAAACATTTCTAACTAATGTAGATCACAAATGATTACAAAATCCAGTATTTTTATTAAAACTAGTACCATCAGCAACAGGTAATTTGGAACAAATATTTGATTGTTAATTCAAAATATGGAGGTTTACTAATGTAAAATTACCAAAAAAAAAAACATAGAGTGTCTTGCTTTGTGCGATCATACCGTTGGATGTGAGACCGCGAAGCAAAATCGTGCAAGCTTTTATATCCCGGCCCGTGGGTACCAACTGCCCGACTAACAACTGAATAAAATTGGATTGTATATAACGAAGGTTTGATTTTCTTAATGTTTCTTTCATTAATAGTTATGAAGAGCATTATAAAATAAGAAAAATAATTTGTTGTTTTTGAAAATATCTTCAACATATCTCCAAATTTCCTATAAGTGTAAATTTAAATCATCTATAAACATTTTATACATTATCAACAATTACGCTGCCTAGCGTTTGCAATCGTCCACTTAAAATCTCGGTCTACCATTCAGCTATTGTCCATGACGGAATCAACAATCGTTCATTATGTCTCAAAATAGTACTGCGTACCTCAGGAAGTGGCTCATTTATTCAACTTCACTTTAAGTACGGCATGTATTCTGGCACGACTTACTTCTCTTGCACGACTTAGTTCTCTGCCACATATATATATCTACGATGCGCACAGAAATAAAACACACACACAATTCACCTTTGACCCCAGTAAATATTTCAACGCATAATAACTTGTTTGTATATATATAACACCAGATACGTGTACGTCAATTCAAGAATCCAGTAAAACAAATTATAAAAATACAATAATACACATTTTGTATCAAAATATTATTCAAAAATATTAGATAATTAGATAGAAGTCACTCTCAATAACGGATATGAATATCTATTTCAAGATTTAATTGTTTTTAACATTACAACTGAAAATTGAATAAAACCATAGAATTGAATTAATTGTCTATATTGAAATACCAGAAACACAAACATAAACAGTGTGGATCCCCACAACTTCAAGATTCTGAGCTAACAGCATTGTATTTTGAGGTCCTGCAAAAAACCCCGAGCATTGCCCCCATCCACAGTGAAACAAGTACCACTTACCATTCGGGAACATCAATCACAATAAATCATCCCGTGTTCTGTGAGAAGTCGAGCTTTTTCTACATAGATGGCGGACAAATGTTTTCAATAACGATGTATATTAGAGCGCATGCGCTTTTAACTATGTGGGAAAAGGAAAACAATAATGTCTGTTTAAAACTCAATATTTCTGATTTTAATGAAATACATCAATTTACGGTTAATTCTTAAAACAGCGTTTCTCCCAAGACTATTTATAACGCGCCAGTGCTGTTTGTTTCTAAAAATAAAAGTTCGGGGAAAGAATCTTCCGCTTTACTTTTACAAATAAAGAGTATGGACCGGTCGCGGATTTTCCTTATTGTTTAGATATATATATGTAATATCATCGGCTAAATTTCTTTTAACACCTTTATCATTTTGATTTGACACTTAAATGAAACGATTTATCTATTTTCAAAACGAAAGCATATTTACCTTTCGAAAAGCTGATGGACGCTTTAAGATTTCTTTAAAAGTTGTTTTTTGTGTTATCTCGAGGAACTCATTTGTTGGCGGAAGGATTAAAGATGTACTACCCACCAGCTGTCAGGAGTTTTAAAGTGGTGAATTTAAACAGTGT